CACAACAACGAATTTTAGAAGTGTATAGTCACTTACTACACAACAACGAACTTTGTAAGTGTACAGTCACCTTACTACACAACAATAGAACTTTGAAGTGTAAGTCACCTTACTACACAACAACGAACTTTGAAGTCTGTAGTCACCTTACTACACATCAAATAACTTTGAAGTGTATAGTCACCTTGTTACACATCAAATAACTTTGAAGTGTATAGTCACCTTGTTACACATCAAATAACTTTGAAGTGTATAGTCACCTTGTTACACATCAAATAACTTTGAAGTCTGTAGTCACCTTACTACACATCAAATAACTTTGAAGTGTATAGTCACCTTACTACACAATAACGAACTTTGAAATGTAGAGTCACCTTACTACATAACAAAGTACTTTGACCCTGCCTCACTGCCATGAATATTTTTACATCCACTGCAAGCCTTGAAAATATCTCCCTTTTCTACATGTATTATCATGTACTGAACCAGCCTATGATGTGATCATCATTATATTGTAGCCTTTTACAGTAAGAGGATGATACATCTTCTATGCACAGAAATCCCATGAGCACTAGCATTTCAACAAAGGCTCATTACTCCCTCAGCTGCATTGTTCCACATGAATCCTCTATCTTTTCTTCAAGTGAAGTAACAGGAGAACCTTTGCTTCCGCTGTAGATGCACATAGGGTTGGGGGTTTTACTACAGGTCACTCATTACACTACAAACCAAGCTGGATGGATCTAGCATTCTTTTGAGGATGTTTTCTTCCTGCATCTGATTATTCTGGTAAGTATCCTGCATATTTCTCCAGTGTGGTACCGTCTTACTTATTGCCCCAACCACAACACACACTCACGCTCAGCCGACCATCTAAGAGATAATGGCTGGTTGAGCAATCTTATTTTCTGCCCACCATAATGCCATCTAGAAGTTTTTTTTGACAATATATTTTGCTTTATCAGGAAAAAAGTATACCTTGCATGAGAAAGATGCAACATCACATCAAACGATACCCTGCTAAGTTAATCCCTAATCCATCCTAGTGAGTGACATACTCTATGGTTTCCCTTTCAGATGCTATAGTTTCAGAAAGGACCTTATCTTATTAATTTCTTTATCTCTACTGGTTCTTCCACTATTTTATTAATGTGAGATTCTTGCTCTTTGTTTAACAGAGAGGTGAGTATACATTTCTTAAGTTAACATTTTCCTTACTGAGAATGTTTTTCAAATAAGCACACACACCTCTCCACAATCTCTACACTTGTTATCCACATGTATTTCCAATAGGTACTCACCTCTCTCCAAAACCCCCACACTTATTCTCCCCATTCCTGGTGTATTTCTCTTGTCTTGTCAAGAATTAGCTTTTGTTATAAAGCTAGTGCTTATGAAAATTATTGCATATAGAGAATGTTAGTGGACGGCTATAGTCTGATGATGATTATATCATAGGCTGATGCAGTTGTACAGTAGTAGGTGGGAGCTTCATTTAAGGCTTGTAGCATGTGCAAAAAATCTTCATAGCAGTGGCATGAGATTATAACTCCTTGCTGTGTAGAAAGGTGAGGATCTATCTGAAATACCAGAAAAATGTTAACAAAAGTATTTACATTATAAGAAGATCGTATTTTCTCCACTACATGTTTGTGATTGGTATAAAATATTACAGTAAAAGTAGTTCAGACAAGAGAAGTAACTAATATTTGTAGTGTTTTACATAGTTCTTGGATGATTATGTAAAAAAACGTGTTTTCACATTTTTCTCAGATCATGTATAATTAGTGCGAGAAAAAACATTATTTTTCTCTCATCTTACATTATTAGTGTTTGAACATATTTTACTTTTTTTTTTCTCAGATATTTCATAATTAATGCGTGAATAAACATCTTTTGTTATTTCTTTTCTCAGATTTTTGTTTATTGAAGGTGAGTGAGATCATTAATATTTTTTGGTTAAGTCTGTACTTTAAATGGTATCAAATGATGCTTGCTGTAGTGTTTTTAGTTAGATTTCTTTGGATGAAGATGTTCATTCATTAATATTTTCATAATATTTATGGTTAAATCAATTTTTATCAAGGTATGTGTAGTTACTATTTTGATTTATATTTAGTTTATCTTTATTACATATATTGTGTGTGTATGTTGAGGTATTTTTTGTTAATGTATTTTTTTTATAAATCTGTAAATGGGACAGCTTATATTTTAGTTTGAAGTCATTGATTTAGGATGTGTGAAACTACTATTAATATTCACAATGAGAACTTGGAAAGTTTTGAAATAACATTCATCCTGCAGGACAAATGACATAAAATTTTACTTGTTCTACAATTGTCAATTAAAGGCTTTTACTTCTACTTTTTAATAATATAAATATAAACTGTGTTGTTGAGCTTTGGATTCTTCTACAGTAGGTGTCTGTGACTTGTTGGTAATAAATTCAACAATAAATGAACAGTATGCACTCCACTTGTTTTCAAAATAATATATATGTTCAGAACAAGTTAACGTATGTACAACAAATTCTTCAACACCATATATATTATGGACATATCATAAACACTATATATAGTTCTCTTCTTCTTGTCAAAAGTCCACTTAAGCCTATTGAATTGCTTTAGAATTTCACTGAACAAGCCAAACTACCTTTTTATATTTCTATCGCTTTAGTATTCCATGTATAATTCACTCATTGAGTTACTGCAGTTGTATCCTGAACTTCCGATACTCATTTGCTTTTTCATATTTAGGCCTACTTCCAATAATCACCTGCTTTTTTTATCAAAGTCCACACAGGCAGATTCAATTGCTTTGGAACATCCTTTGATGAGACAAATTATTCTCCTAAAGTGTCAGAAAACTGTTAATCTCACTTTAAAATATATCAACCATTAGGCTATCCACTCCTATGATGGTTAACTTTCCTTTTCTAACCTTATCTTTGGTCGCACTTCTACTTCCCCTTTTGTCTCTCTTTTTGCTCTGTCTGTCTGCTGTTTCCGGTTGTCTCACACTATTTATATGTTTATCACTTAATCGTCTACCCGCCTTCTAAAAATCTATATTCTCGACGTCAGTGTATTGCCCGCGACATTCAATAGTCTCAACATCAATGAATTATAAACACAACTTCCAACAGTCGTCTGCTTTTAACTCTCTTATTATAAAAAAACACTATAAAGTAATGAAATATTAACTCACAAAATAAATAAATTAATACCACCTACACTAAACAGTCTTTTATATCATAACAAAGATGTTTCAAACAGTATAATTTTCCAAGGTCATAATAAATGCAGGTGAACTTTAGATGTTGACCTTATTCTTGATGGCACTATCATAACTTATTCCACCTATCCTGATGAACAGTGATTTACAGTAGAGGCCACAGTCTTGCTTAAGAAAGGAATTGCCTATTTATAATATTTGCTTTGTTATCTACCAACCAATGATCAACATCTCTTTGCATGAAGTATATGTAAATATGATAAGCATCATGTCCAGAAGACCAATAATAAGTTTACATTTTTACCTCTAATTTCAAATAAGGTTATATAAACAAAGAATCCATAAAAGATTGGAAAAAGTCGGGAAAAACTCAAAATAGCAGCATTTCCAAGTTGGATGAAGCTGTTAGGAAATAAGTGCATGTGCCATCAGCTGTAAAACAAATATGATGCTAAGAAGAACACATCACATTAGCTGTAAAACAAATATGATGTTAAGAAGAATATATCACATTAACTGTAAAACAAATATGATGTTAAGAAGAATACATCACATTAACTGTAAAACAAATATGATGCTAAGAAGAATACATCACATTAGCTGTAAAACAAATATGATGTTAAGAAGAACACATCACATTAACTGTAAAACAAATACGATGCTAAGAAGAATACATCACATTAGCTGTAAAACAAATATGATGTTAAGAAGAACACATCACATTAACTGTAAAACAAATATGATGCTAAGAAGAATACATCACATTAGCTGTAAAACAAATATGATGTTAAGAAGAACACATCACATTAACTGTAAAACAAATATGATGCTAAG